GTGGACCATGGAGGCATCATCCTAAGTGTGCTCAATCCCATTCAGTTGAGAGTAGGGCAGTGGTGTTCTACCAGTGTAGTTGTTGTGTACTCTCCTCTTACTACGGATCTGATGTACAATTCCAGGTGCCACTTGGCTATGGATTGGATGAATCCACCACATGAAATTTCCTTCTCTTCTTTTCCACCTGATTTAATGACATATATCTTCACAATGGGCAAAGAGTATACCTGGGACAGATGTAGTGCCGTCTCCCATGGGTGTGTTCCTCCACAGAGAGATGTCACACTCTATGGACTCTCTTCAGACACTTTCTGAAGGGTGCTCAGCTAAGTAAATTTTGCATTGGTCCTTCCTCCAGTTCAATGTGATATTGTAGCTATTATGTGAGGGGAGGTAAGGTATTGTATTGGAAGTTAACAAAAATACCTCTTTTCACACTTCCCATCCATCCTTCCCACTTCTTTGTTTGCCTAATCTAAAAGTGAAGATTAGGGTCTACAGTACAGAGGGAGCCAGCTGCGCCAGGAAGGTGTATCACACTCCTATTGGTGGAGGGTTGTTGTATGCTTACTTGAATGCTAAAGTGCAGTTGTATCATGTGTAAACACATGAGGCCTACCCTCATGGAAGTATCAAGGCTAGTGGCAAGCAAAAATTGCACATATAGAGGGCAGCACTAAAGAAAAGCTATTATGTGAGATGAGGTAAGTATCTATCTGAAATACATTTTCAATGTAGGAAAATGTTAACTTTAGCCACTGGAAGGAAAACAAATTAACTTTTTATGGTGCAAACTTGTGAAAAATAAACAAAATTTAAGGAAACTATAAAATCACAAAATATACCTTTTCTTGTCAGCTGTAAATTTTTCTGCAGGAATTGAAGGATAGAGTCATCTCCATAACTGTGAAACAAACATGCATAAAAGGTAACATAATGTTTACACATAAATAAAACATCTGCCTCAAAACAATACAGAGTAAATGCACCATGTGGCACTTATTATGAGTGGTATTCCAAATTAACAATAATGTAAAATGAAAAAAGCAGTGACTGAAGCCCATTTAACCCTTTTAGGTCACCTCTATTTTTTAATCCAAATTAAACATAGCCCTTCAGATATATCTATAAGTAATTTTTAAAATAATTAAAATTAAAGAAGCCAACATTCATGGGTGAATGCAACATGTCTCCACCACACAATCCAAACTTGGCCAATTTTGACACCAGAAAAATTGTGAAAATCACAGAATAATTGAAAAGTTTATATATTACTGCTTGGTACCTGCAAGAATGTATTTTTGTACCAAATCCAATCTAAAATTGGTTGACATAAACAACTAGTTCACACAAACCCCAGATTGTGCTTTCCTTACTGAAAAATTGAACAAAAGGCAAAAATTCCCAAATTGTATATATATCTCTATTTATGACCTGCAAAGAGTATCATTGTGCTATATTTCATGTAAAGTGGTCAAAATATGGCTATGTAATTGACCAAAACCCTTAAGATTATGGGTTTATTTAAACTTTTCACTCCCCCCCTCTAAAATGAACAAAAGTGGGCATATCCCACATTTTTGTATGTAAATGTACAGGACCTGTAAAAAAGTATCTTTGTACCACATCCCTTGTAAATTGGCTGAAATACAGTGGAGTTAAAATTACTTGGCCATAATTTGACCCATTTACATGAGATTTGATGTAAAGATACTTTTCTATAGGTCCCTCACATTAACAAACAAAAATGGTGGGCTTACCCATTTTTAGTAATTATAGGGTAAGCCACAAAAAGCATAATTTTAGATTGTTTCTATATTCACGGCACCAATTAGTTTTTAACAGAACCTTCTACAATCGTCTGCTTTTAACACTTATTATAACAAAACTTAAAATAATAAAATATTCACTCACAAATATAAATTAATCAATACTATCTGAATGAAACAGTCTTGTATATCATGACACAGACCATACCCTATACAATGAATCAACACTCAATGGGTTAATATAAGTAGAATTTAGGGGTAATTTCCCCTACTCTAAAAGAAATAGGTTAGTGTGATAATCTCTCTGTCGCCCTCACTAGCAAGAACACTAATAAAGGATGAAAACCCTTTAAGTTAAACTTTATGGTTTAAGCTTAGGCACTTTCATAATCATTCTTAGCCATAATGTTTTTTTTTGTTTATTATTTTAATCCCAGCATACTCCATATTTCAATTGAATTTCATTTTCTATAAGCTAGACATTTTTTACATCTTATGAATTCTCTTTTCATCTATTTAAGAAAAGGATTCAATTTGAAACACAAATTTTTTGTCGGAGTGTATTCTTTTTCTTGTAGTTTGATAGAACTTGCAGACTTGTCTCATACTATGTTAACATTCTTTCCATTCAGATCAGCTACACAGTCTGTTTCTTTCCCAGTATCTTGCATGTTTTTGGAGCCAGTTTTCCTAAAATATGGGGCACAATTCTACTAACTCTACAACTGGATTTAATAAAAATACTAAAAGTAGTAATCATAGGGTCAGTAGTATTCAAGTACTCTCCCACATTTAGATTTAAACCATATCTTTCTTATTACAAAGGAGGAGGTCTAAAACAACATATTTAGTAGGAGCTTTCATTTGCTGGGTGAGAAAACTGTTGCCTACAGGCTAAAGAAATATTAGCTTCATGTGGTGAAGACAGATTAAGCCTAATTAATTTCCCTGAAATGAAAGTCTCCCATAACCTAAACTAACCAATTTCTACTTGCTGCATAACTAGTCCGCATGCACAAAATATGATTGGTAGCTCTACTGTTATTAATGTCATTGGTTCTATTACACACACAACCAGAACTTTCTTTAGTTACTTGCATGAAATTGTCTTTCTCTGTACAAAATCTCAATCTTCAGTATCTGGTAAATAAGTTTTATTTATTGCTTCACCACAAACAAACTTCAGTATTTATAATTATAGAATCCCCTACTACAGACACTTTGATATCATGTAATTCTCTACTCCAATCAACCAAAGGCAAAATTTTGTTTAAAATAGTTACCCATTGGACTCACCATTATTCTCCAATCAATGAAAAATCCAAATAACAACCAGATCAAACTTTATGTTTTACATCTATAACCAATCCAACAAAAGCTTAAAAAAAAATTAAGATATCACCATGCAATTCTAATTGAAAGCAAGTGGTGGTATAGATTTCCAAAGCTTGATAGTTATTACTTCTTTTATTCAAGTCACCATAACTTGGAAGAGTTTAGAAGTGGTCATTTTAATTATCTTCAGTATAGCAAGCTTACAAAAAAAGTACCTATGTTTGTAACAAAAACAAAGTTATAGTTTCTAAACAGATTACTGACATAAAATTATTTGATATTCTAGAAGATTTGGAAATAATATTTAAAATAGTAAGATTTTGATAACCTTTTTTTGGTATCTGCAAATTTGTTTTAATATATAGGCATACGTTCTGCTTTCAGGTGGATCTGTGACGGCGGGTTTAGGAATTTATGATACAATGCAGTATATACTTCCTCCTATTGCCACATGGTGTGTAGGACAAGCATGCAGCATGGCAAGCTTACTACTGTGTGCAGGAGCACCAGCAATGCGACACTCTCTACCAAATTCTCGAATTATGATGCACCAGCCTTCTGGTCATGCTGCTGTGAGTGTGATATTAAATGTTATTTCAGAATTAATGAAATATATGAAACTTAAAATTTCAGTCTGAACTTTGGATTTGTTAATTTTTCTATATATGTACATCCTGACAATTTGCATTTTTTCTTTGGCTCACATCATTGCCTCATGATGAGGATAATTTTTTTCTATCAATCAGAATATTGCTATTTCTTTCTCAAAGCTTCCTTGTGGTTGTGGACATTGCAGTTTTCAGATTATACAAACTAATGGATATTTGAGTACTTACGAACACATCAACTTGCGTTCTTTTTATTTACGATACTTTTTTTAGAAGAATGTTTCTGTCACCTCTTTTAATAGCTTTATTTCTGAATAGTTTGAAATTGGATATTAAAAAATGTTGTTTTTAAAACTTTTCTTTAATTAAGCTTTTAAGCTTTTCTTGTTAAAAAATTGTAGCATTCAAGTACTAAACATTCATGTTGTAGATGATCTGAGAACACCATTATATCATTTATTTAGACATAACTACTTGCAAATTCATAATGTCCTTATGTTTTTTAAATTTTAACAATGGGAATATATTGATATTTGTTAAACTTCTTGATTGCACAATTATATGGTATTATTTGTTTCTGTTATAATGTTGAATAACATAAAGTTATGTTATTTTGGGTTTCAGGGACAAGCTACTGACATTCAGATTCATGCAGAGGAGATTTTATACTTGAAAAAGAAGTTAAATAGCATATATGTGAAACACACTAATCAGCCTATTGAGAAGATTGGTAAGCTTATGAAGTGCTTTTTCACAGTTTTTAATGAAGGACAAGTGATGGCTTGAAGTTATATAGGCTTTAAAATCTTGTAAAACATAACAATAATGGTTTGTTATGTATTATTACATAAAACACAATTAGCATAGTTGCTTATGGAAAAAAAAATCAGTACATTGATATTTTTTGTTTTACATGTTTCATACTATTGTGAAATATTAACTTAAGTCAAAGAGTATACTTTAAGTAGTTTCTATTCCATCAAACAAAAACTTGCTCTATACATTTGCATTTTATGATCATCAGAACAATAACTCAAGAGTAATCAAATATATACCAGGTTATACAAGCAATGACTTTTTGCATACCTCGTAACAGCTTTTTCAGATGTTAACTTTGGTTGCCAGTAATTTTGTGGTGGTATGATTTTGTACGTGATATTGAGTTTGGTAAATCCAGGAAGCTGCGCTGATTGTGATTTATATGATACGTTAGGCTAGCACTTGACACCTTGGTTTGCACTATAGGAGGCTCTTCATGCAGAGTGGTGAGAAATATGGATGCCCACTCCTCCTCTTCCTCCTGGCAGGCTACTCAATTTACCGGGCCGCCTCTTTCCCAGTGCTCACTTAAGGATTCCAAACCCACAAAAATCTATCTGTGATGTAGCTGGTAAATGACTACGTGGAAACACACAGATTATGGTCTCCTCCTTAATCCTAGTCATGTAGGCAAGTGTTGTCTTGGGGCAAGGGGAGTATAACTAAATGCTTTAGTTTGATATATACTTGGGTATATTCTTCCTCTAAGTTGGGACAAATTCTCTTTTGTAACTATATGGCATGGATTTTAGTATTTTTGTTGACATGGTGCATGGTTATCTTGCTATTGTAGATGGTTTCTACCATTACCATGAAACCTTTGGGAAAGATTTTGGTGCATTGCCTAACTCAAACTCCACAGTCTTTTGCACCCTATTTTTGGCAAAAAAATCACTTGCAATTTGTTCCAGCTGTTAGTATTTAATTTAAGGATACAACAAATTTCCAGATCAAGATTTGTGATAGTTAGTTGATTGAGGCTCTAATACACCAATACATTATGCAATGTGTTTTTGTAAGCAAGGGTTCTCATTAAGCACTTTTTCTTTTACTTTATGCATTATATGTTGTGTGTAGCATTAGGTAAAATATTAGCATCTGTAAGTGATCTCATGTGCCACTTACAATATGGTGGGGACAGAGCATGTGTGAAAACTCAGTGTTATGGACATTAAACAAGTCTCCTTATATGTCCATAGCATGATTGATCATAAAAGAAATATGCTTGGAATAGAATAGTTACCAATCGAACCATATGTCAGATAGCATTTTAAACACATTAATAGGAGTGTTATAATATTCTTTTGTATTGAACCATTCTCCTAATGCATGCTTCAGTTTCAATTACAATAAAATTTTTAAATTTTTTGCATCACCCTGTGCTATTATTTCATTCATAAACTGTATTAAGCTGTTTAAAGTAATGCATTCCCATTATAATAAGTAGTTGCATGATGTATTTACTTTTATAGCTGTACTACTTAGATCTTGTATATGTTCTGAGTACTTTTCACACAATTATAATAATATTCCAGTGTTGCAAGTTTTGTTAACTTTGTTTCACACTTCTGTTATACATATTGAAATGTTATAGCTTTTGTTTTACACTAACATTGTTAATAGTCCTTGGATGTTAAATAATTTGCTGCTATATTGTGTAAGGTACTTAATTAAAAAACAAAACAACAAAAAACCAAAGGTGTCTAAATTTCTAATGTATGTTTTAGCTGTCTGTAGGTAATGCTCAGTTGGGCTGTGCCTACAGCAGTCAAAGGTCTGTTTAAAATGTTATTTATGTATAAACTAAAACTCAATGACAGTGTATTCAGGATCCAAGCTGCAAAAATATATCTGCTGTCATTTGCAGTTTTCCTTCAGAATTATTAATCAAGCAGCACTTTCTTGGTTCTTTTACACTTGTAACGTTGAGTTAGTAATACTGTAAACAGAATAAACTTTCAGACAAACTTTCTTTTTCTATTGTAATTGAACCATTTAGTAGATGGTTCTCTAAGTCTACAAAATTTATTTAGTATGAAAAAGTATTCCATATAGTTAATCAACTTCATAATTCATGTTGATATACCTAGAAAGTCTATAAACAGTAAGTTTAGATTATTAATTGAATAGAGTTCAGTCACTCATGACCTCATTATATACACCTGGAAAAAAGTTAAGCACCCCCAAATATTTTTCAGGATTGCTTATTGAAA